GGTGGCGAGCGCCTAATCTCGGGTGATCTCGGGTGATCTCGGGTGATCTCGGCTAGCCAGCAGCCCCTCGTGGCGAGCGCCTCGATGAGCGCGGGCCGCTCGCCGGCGGGGAGCTTGGAGGCCTGGTGCCCAAAGTTGGCCTCCACGTACCGGTCCAAGATCACATTGTCCCCGCGGCGCAGCCAGTGCGTGAGCAGCGGCGTCACGTCGAACCGGTTCTGCGAGTAGAGGGAGGCGAAGAGCAGCGGGTTGACAGCCTTGATGCCGCCCTTGGCGCCCGAGAGGAGGGTGCGGATGAGGCGGCCGTGCATCGCCGCGTCGTGCGGGAAGTCGATGCTCGAGACGGGGTAGCCCAGCCCCTCCAGCCGCGCACGCAGCATCGCCGTCTGCGTCTGCTTTCCCGCGCCGTCGCCACCCTCGACGACGAAGATGCGGCCGGGCTGGGCGGGCGGCGTGAGGAAGCGCTCCACCGCGAGCGCCGCCTCTGCCGCGCCCGCGTACACCGAGCATGTCAGCAGCGGATGCGCCAGAGCCTCGATTGCGGGCAGCTCGGACGCGCCCGCGCGGCGCAGGCAGAGCACGGGGATGCGGCGGGTGTGCAGCGCATACACCACCTCCGCGCCGACCGTGGCGTCGCACCCGCTCAGGTCGGCGACGAGCGCTTCGCACCCGTCCAGCGACGAGACCCAGTCGGCACCACCGCCCGCGACGACAGGGGAGAAGCGCTCAATCGATTGGCGCAGCGGCTCGGGCTCGGCGGCCGGCTTGGCAAAGTAAATGGGCGTGTAGAGCGTGGCGGCAGCGGGGTGCATCGGGTGAGCGCAAGCAGGGCACCACACCAAGCGGGGACCTCGCCAAAGGCTCGTGCTTACGCGGTCCAACGATGCCCTCTCCCGCTTTCCGTGAGACAAAAGAATTCTTAATACACAAGCCTCTCTCACAGCACACTGGCACGACAAGGGCGCCGACTGGCGCGGACTGGCACACACACAGGCTCACCACCGGAGCCGCCTAAGCGACTCCGTTAAGAACGGCAATGCACTCCGCACCATGCACAATGCCGCTCTCCCCGCACGCTAGCTCGTTCACCGTCTGCCACGCCACGGCGGTGTGGAGGACGACAGACAAGCGCTGCATCTGCAGCCCGTGCCAGTTCTTGGTGGTCCATGTGACCTCGTCCATGCGCCGTGGATCAAGATAGTCATGGAAAACCCTGCAGACGCCGGCATGGAGCGGCTCGAGTTTGTGCAACAGGTGGCCGAGAACTTGAACCTGACTGCTGTGCACGTCAACTACTGCGCCAAGTCGAATGCCTACCCGTGGAAGAAGACCGTCCTCTACACCAACAGCAAGTCGATCATCGAGCTGTACAACAAGGGCCAAATGCTGTGCAAGCACCCGCCCACGTTCAAGCATGTCGAGTGCTCCAAGAACCCGGTTGAGGCGGCTTCGTACAAACCGCTCTGGGCTGCAGAGTGGGCCGATCTTCTAGTGCAAGATGCGAAGAAGGCTCGCGCGGACAGCGCGTTTCAGCATGCGCCACCTGAGAAGCGACAGAAGGTGGGCTTTGATGAAGGTGTGGCGGTGGTGAAGTTGGAGGAGTAGCGCTACTCTCTCACTCTGGTCTGTGTTACGGCTGTCCTATAGCACTCTTGGGGAGCGTCTTCTTTCTTGCAGGGCACAGAGGCACCACACAAAAAAGACTGACCAATATTACACACATGGTACACGACATACGTTCTGAGCGTGACGCACGTCGTGTCTCGTGAGCATTCTCCTCGCTCACCACACACCCTCGACGAAGACACCCTTCAAAAGTAGAGCCCGGACAGGATCGCGTTGATGCCGACCACCCACATCTCCTTGGCCTCGGCCGTCGGCGCCATCAGAGTCAGCGTGCGCGACTCGAGCGTCACCTGAGGGAAAGGTGAGGGAAGGGAAGGGAAACCCTCACCGCTGCTGTAGTGTGGGGCGGGGGTGGGCTGTCCCCGCATACAAGAGGCATTGAAGGTGCAAAAGGCTGAGCTCCTCTCGCAGGGGGAGCCCCGCCGAGCGATTCACACACTGCCTCTGCCCCGAGTCATCTCGGCTGATCTCGCTCGATCTCGGGTCGATCTCAGGAGAGGGCGCGCCCAGAGAGTCACACTGCTCCGAGAGGCAGAGGCCGGCCTCCGAGCCGACGCCCCTGCCCTCCGCCCCTCCCCCTCCGCCGCCCGCTCCGCCGCCCGCTCCGCCGCCCTCGCCCGCCGCCGCGTCCCAGCGCGAGGGGCCGAACCGCGCCAGCAGCTGCGCCGCGCCCTCCTTCGGCGCGACTGCGGCGCGGCCTACGAGGGAAGGAGCGCGCCTCCGCCCTCTGCCTGAGAGGCGGGTCGACTGTGCGCTGCCTCGTCACCTCTCGTCACATCTCGTCTCCTCTCGTCACCTCTCGTCACCTCTCGCCACCTCTCGTCGCCTCTCGTCGCCTCTCGTCGCATCTCTCGCGCACCGGAGGGGCACGCCCCCCGAAGCACCGGCAGCCGCCTGCTGAGCGCCTCCTCGCTCTCGAACACGACGTCGAGCCGCGGCGTGTCGAGCCGGCTGGTGGCCGAGGTGGTGGCCAAGGTGGTGGCGGCGCCGCCCGGCGGCGGGGCGGCCGCTGAGGTGCCGGTTGACGCACGCGGCGGGGAGGCGAGGCTGCAGCAGCAGCAGCCGCGACAGAGCGCCCGCCTTGATCCCGTGCTCCCCGTCCGCGGCGCGGAGCTGCTTGACGGCGAGCTGCGCGCAGCCGCCCGCTGCGACGAGGGTCACGTCGCTGACCCCGGCGGTCAGCTTCTCGAGCGCGCGGGCCACGGGCTTCCCCTGCGACGGCGCGCCGCCGCCCTCTGGCAGGTGCAGCAGCACCGCGAGGCCGCGCGAGAGCACATTCGGCTTTGGCGTCGAGTAGCCGGCAGCAAAGATGTGACAGCGAGGAGTCGCCCAGGAGAGCTGTGCGTCTGGCTGCTGCCGCTGGGTCTTCTTTCAGCCGAGAGGCAGGCTTGCAGCTCACTCACGATTCCCCTCTCACTGGCCCGGCGCCCACGCCTCGATCTTCTTGGGCAGCGGCTGGTTCGACAGGTCCTCTCCATGGCAAAGGCAGCCGTCCTCGCCCTTGCCCCAGGTGAAGACAGCGCCATCTGCGGTGGTGGCGAGGCTGTGGCTGGCTCCAGCCGACACGGCGACGATGCGCTGGCCAGCCAATGCCTCGATCTTCTTCGGCAGCGGCCGGTCCCATAGGTCGTTGCCGTGGCCCAATCGGCCTTGGGCTCTACCGCCCCAGCTCCAGAGGGCGCCGTCGGCAGTGAGGGCGAGGCTGTGGCTGGCTCCAGCCGAGACAGCCACAACGCCAGCCAAAGCCTCGATCTTCTTGGGCAGCAGCTGGTCCTGCGTGTCACCGTGGCCCAGCTTGCCACCGGTTCCACCGCCCCAGCTCCAGACGGCGCCGTCGGCGGTGATGGCGATGCTGTGGAACGCTCCAGCCGACACGGCGACGACGCGCTGGCCAGCCAAGGCCTCGACCTTCTTGGGCAGCAGCTGGTTCTGCTCGTCGCCGTGGCCCAGCATGCCAAAGACTCCACCGCCCCAGCTCCACACGGCACCGTCGGCGGTCAGGGCGAGGCCGTGCTGGTAACCAGCCAACACAGCGACGACGCGCTGGTCAGCAAAGGCTTCGACCTTCTTCGGCAGCAGCTGGACCTGCTGGTCGCCGTGGCCCAGCTGGCCATCGCCTCCCCAGCCCCAGCTCCAGACGGCGCCGCTGCTGGTGAGGGCGAGGCTGTACCCGCCTCCAGCCGACACAGCGACGACGCGCTGTCCAGCAAAGGCCTCGATCTTCATTGGCAGCAGCTGGTTCTGCGTGTTGCCGTGGCCCAGCTGGCCGTGGCCTCCATAGCCCCAGTTCCAAACGGCTCCGTCGGCGGTGAGGGTCAAACTGTGGAGAGGCCCAGTCGACACGCTCACGGCGCGCTCAACCATCGACGGGAGGCGAGTCGGCGTATTGAGCTGCGTCACACCCTCGCCGTGGCCGAGCAGTCCCCGCAGCCAGCCCTCAGCCGTCCCGCACGACGAGAGCCGCCCCTCGCCGTCGATGAAGAGGCTGTGCTGACGGCCTCCCGCCGCCTTCACCGGCGGGTTGGACTCGCACAGCAGCGCCGAATAGCACAGCCATCGTACGGCGCAGCCCTCGCCCTCTGGCTGCGCCGGCAGCTCGAAGCCGCGCTCTTGCACCCACAAGCGGATGCCCTCCAGCGCAAGCGAGGCGTGGAAGAGCAGCGAGACGGCAGCGACGCGAGCGATGTCGGCGGGGTCGCAGCGGGAGAGGGCGCGCACGAGGAGCTCCGTGGGGAGGTCGAGGAGGCGGGTATGAGGCGGCGTGCCTGGCGAGGGGGCGGCGGCAGCGGCAGCTAGGCGACAAGAAAAAGAAAGCAGAGGGTCCACATCATCGCAAACCCTAGGGGCCTAGAGAACACAACCCCCTCTCCCTTCTCTGCCAGTAAGCTAAAACTGGCCGCATCAGTTTTTTTCTTTTTTCTACGAATAAAAAACACAGTGGTGTGTACATGTCGGCTGTCGCGGAATCGCTAGTGTTAGCGAACAGAGGCACGTGTGCTAATTCTAGGCCGCACGTCGTGGCACTATGACGAAGGTAGACGTGCGGCTGCAGCGCGCCCGCCGCAGGCTCGGCGGTGCGCGCGTGTTAGCGATAAAGTTGCGGGTGGAGCCGTGCCCGACTTGTCGAATGCGAGGCCTCTGCGACGAGTGCCAGTCGCGCTGCGGAGCCACGCCCTTCGAGCCGCGTCCCGTCGGCACTACCCTCGAGTGCGTGTCGCTTTGGTTGGCGACAGCCACTCGTCGAGGGCAGTCCAGCACGCGGCTCGAAGGGAGTTTTGTTGTAAAATTCTTTTAGCCAAGTCATCGGCAGTGTCGTGCGAGGGAGCGTTGTAAAATTCTTTTAGCCAAGTCATCGGCAGGAAACACGAGCGCGCAAACGCCCGACTGCAAGGCACCGACGGGACGGATGGGCCTTTTCCGGTCCTCCTTCAGAGACAGCGGCAGTGACAGCAAGAGCAGCACCACGCGCGCCGGGCCGGCGACGATAGGCCAAGTTACTCCCGCCACGTCGGGGCCGGCGACTCCCTCCACCAGCTCGGCAGACTCGGTCGTCGACAACGAGGCGGCGAGCCTGCACCAAAAGTCGATGGCGGCCGTCGATTCCGAGATCCTCAGTTCTAGTAGTGCGAGGCTGCGCGCGGAGTGCGCGGCGCTCGGGTGGGAGGCGGGAGCGCTCGAGGTGCCCGCCGCCGGCCGCACACCCTTTGCCGACTTCCGGCAGCACGCGAAGCTCGCGTCGGGCGAGTTTTGCGACGTGAGCGCCGCGGTCTTTCGGGGGTCGGACGGCCTCACCTTCAGGGTGGGAGTCAAGGTGCTCAAGGCGGGGCGACAGGTGACCGAGATCGCCGTCTCGGACCTGCGGCGGGAGGCGGCCGCCCCAGCTCTCCCCACCTCTCCCCACCTCTCCCCACCTCTCCCCATCTCTCCTCAATCTCTCCCACCTCTCCCCAGCTCTCCCCATCTCTCCTCAATCTCTCCTCAATCTCTCCCCGATCTTTTCCCCACCTCTCCCCATCTCTCCTCAATTTCTCCCCACCTCTCCCCATCTCTCCCCACCTCTCGGGACCTCCGCTCCGCCCCGCTACCTCACCCGTGTACTGGACATGGACGCGTCCATGACATGTCCGAGCCGTGCTCCCCCAGGCCGCCGTCCTCGCCCGGCTGCGCCACCCGCACGTCGTCTGCCTGGTCGCCTTTGGAGAGCACCCGAACGGGATGCCCTTCTACGCGATGGCGCGAGATATGGGGAGATATGGCGCGAGATATGGGGAGATATGGGGAGCACCCGAGCGGGATGCCCTTCTACGCGATGGCGCGAGATATGGGGAGATATGGCGCGAGATATGGGGAGATATGGGGAGATATGGAGAGCACCCGAGCGGGATGCCCTTGTACGCGATGGCGCCGCCGCCTGACGCGACGCGACGGGAGACGGGGGACGGGGGACGCGAGACTCCGTTTCTGAACAGGAGCTCTTCGAGGCGACGCTCAGCGCGGTGCTGCCGCGCAAGCCCAAGGAGGCCAAGGCGCGCCAACCCACCCACCCCCCGCCGACCCCGCCTCCCCTCTGCGCCTTTCCCCCCCAGCCACTGCACCTCGCCCCCCCAGCCACTGCGCCTCGCCCCCCCAGCCGGGCACCTCGCCCCCCCAGCCACTGCGCCTCGCCCTTTCCAGGCACTTGCGCCTCGCCCCCCCAGCCACTGCACCTCGCCCCC